GGCAAGCAGTGGTTAAAACTTCACACCTCTCAGCTGCTATCCTGTCTGATAATGACATGCGTCAGTCTTACTTATCCAATTATCACCAGTGCTTGCCTTTCATAGGACCACTGTTTGACCTATTAAAAACAGAACCGTTTGAACATCTCCTTTGCTTCCACCCGTAGCCCCACCCATCGGTGTAACAAGCACAGTCAACCAATGCCACCCCTCACCGCCATGTAACTACGATTTGAGGAACTCTTTTCTCGGCTGGTCGTACGATCAGGGCGGCAGGCAGGCATTGGTCAAACTAATTTCACACCTCTGGCTTCTGGCTACCCAAGAAAGTTTCCGTAGTGGCTCGCTACTCGACCACTCTCACGGGCAGTCGTGAGATTTCACTTCCACACTACATTGATCATCTGCATCGCTCAGGGCTCACATGATGAGGTACCATCTACCCCCAAATTGCTCCCCTACTCCCCTTCATCGCCCAGCGGCATGACCATAGCGTTAAGTATAGAGCCGGTGGAACCAAACTTGGGAGTTTTGCTTCAAATCAGGGCTGAGTGGGCAAAGCATTTTCCGTCTTAGACAGGTGAAACTCTCGGGAAGAGAGCGGATTTTTCTTTCCGTTTCCACGTTGGAAAGGTTTCCGTTTTATACAGGTAATTAAAGAGGAATATATCAAGGGGTGAGCGGGGAGATTCCGTTAAGACAGTTTTCCGTTTTACACAGGTTTCTGTTAACGCAGTATTACAGTGTACCTCCCCCCCCTATAAAAAAGTAAGACGAAAGAAAATATACCAAAAAACAACCAAGAAACAATCATTTACAAACAAACGATTATTGATAAAAGAGGAGTGAAATTTTCTGGAAGGGTAGTAAGGATGTAAAGAAAGGTCCCCACTTAGACTTGATGTCACCCCCTCCCTCCACCCTCACCACACACACACACACACACACACACACACACACACACACACACACACACACACACACACACGCATGCACACACGCACACACATACGCACACACAAAATACAACTCACATCTTGATTAACACCACACTGTCCTACTTGTGCTGTTTTATATAGCATGGATTTTTTCCTGGTATCTGTAGTGTAATAATTGTTAGCTTCTTCCGCCCTGACGTGATTTCTGATCCTGCTTTTGGAAGTTTATTTCGTCGATTACATCCGATTTTCTGTTCTGTTTGTCTACATTATCCCACTCACCCCAGGGCCAGTACAGACAGACAGGCAGGCTTGAAGCAGCTCACATCGTAAATGATCTAAACTGTATGGACGTGAAGGCTTAAAACGTTTTCAACTATTTTTGAGTTCCCATTCCCTGGAGACTAGGCACGGAGAAATTGCGACAATGTGGAAGAACCTGAAACGATTTTCTTTGGGGATCGTGGAAGCAATGCGATTTTTTTTTCTAGGACACTAAAAATAAAGGCAAGAAAACTTCGCTTATTATCAATGAACTCAGTGTTGGTTATGAGTAGTACTATTCGGGTATACCTGTTGTTCTGGAAATCACCCATATACTATAACGCTACCTCAGGATTACAAAGTTTTATCTGCCCCAAAACCTAGTTTTGAGATATTTGATGTCTTTTTTTTTGTTTCACAATATGTCAAGCTTTTTCGAAAGCAATTCTTTGAATATCTTAACTAATAACGGCTCAGAATATTCTTACGATTTTGATTTATAAGGCAGAAAGAACATAATAATTTTTCTGACCCCGTGGGTTTAGTAACTCAAACAGTCAAAATGTCAGATAGAACTTCGTAATTCTGTAGTAACGATAAGTTTCGTCTGACCATGCTTTCAGATGGCCCGGTGTATTCTTGCCATCATTGAACATTGGGCATGTTTACATTTGGGATTCATTTGATACCTCCTCGCCCCCCCCCCCCAACCAATGATGTTCCAGGCTCCCTCTCCATTAAATCCCTGAGGTAATTCTGAAATGTTTTTTTTGAGAGAGAACAATAATAATTGTTCTTAAAGCTTCCAATGCCAAGCAGAGGTGATGGTAGTCTAGTGGTTAGGCTGCCGGACTTAAAATTGTGAGGTTGAGGGTTCAGAGATTCGAGGCTCACTCAGTGAGACGTTGCAGACTAGGAAAAATTACTTTACACAAATTTTCCCTCTTTCTCCATTCATTGGATATTTAATGTATGTCCATTCCATTAATATTGATGCTCCTCAATACACGCACGAAGACAAATTTACATTTCTATGATTTCGCACAATGTTGCAAAGCCTGATATTTTAAAGTCAATTTTGAGTGACCATAGCTCGGGTGTCACTTAATTAACATAGATGAACTATTAATGTGTCAGATGATGGAGGATTTATTTAGCTTTAAATTGGTATGCTGCATGAGTAGGTAATGCGAAGCTTTAGGACGATGATTATGTGATTACCTTGTCAAGTTTCTTTTGGATGCCACTAGATAGATAGATAGATAGATAGATAGATAGATAGATAGATAGATAGATAGATAGAGATGGATAGATAGATAGATAGATATACTTTATAAAAGTAACTAGTTCTGTATAACCTTCGAGGCTCGGGATCGAAGAGCTGACGCTCCAGCATAAATGAATCGATAACAATAACATTAACAACTTGACAGAGTTGATGCAGCCACCTCACCGAGACAATTGGACGTATGATTTGTTGTTGCTACATGTCATTCAATTCTTTTCATAACAACTCCTGAAGATAAATTAGAATGATAAGAGAGGGGTTTTTTTACTCGTAAGGTAACCCTTGGCTGTTCTGTTTATTAACCAGCAATCTTCGGTTGCTATCAACGATCTCACTTTTTCATAATTTCTGAAGTGTATTAATTTGTTGATTATCTAAGTTTGAAATGTCGCAATCTATCCTTCTCTCTCTCTCTCTCTCTCTCTCTCTCTCTATATATATATATATATATATAGATAGATAGATAGATAGATAGATAGATAGATAGATAGATAGATAGATAGATAGATATATATATATATATATATATCTCTCTCTCTCTCTCTCTCTCTCTCTCTCTCTCTCTCTCTCTCTATATTTATATCTCACGCTCTCTCTCTGTCTAGTTCTCTTTCTCTCTCTCTCTTTTTTCTCTCTCTCTGTCTCCCTCTCTCTCTCTCTCTCTCTCTCTCTCTCTCTCTCTCTCTCTCTCTCTCTCTCTCTCTCTCTCTCTCTCTCTCTCTCCCCCTCTCCCTTCCTTTCTTTCTATTTACCTCTCCTTTTCTCTTTCACACACACAAATATATACATCAACGCACACAAGCGCGAACAAAAACACAAAAAGCGCTCACACAAACACAGTCATACCCACACACAAATATAAAACACAAACACACCCACATAACCCTACATCCTACCCAACATCGTACCCCCCCCCCCCTACACACACACAGATGTACCCCCCAGAGGCACGCACACACATCCCTCCCGCACAATCCCCTCCCCCTCCACACACACACTCACACACACACACACACACACACACACACACACACACAGACACACACACACACACACACACCTCATACCCCCACACAAACACACCCACACCCACACGTACCAGAGACATATCCATCGTCATTGGTGTCCTGTAGCTGAAACCACTCATTGGCCGCTTCCAGAGTGAAGTCTGGGGTGGTCAGATCTTCGACGTACTCGGGGATGAAGTCGATCATACCGTTACCTGGGGATAACAGAAACGGTTATCTGGATACCTGGATACCTGAAAGTGTCATCTCTGACTCACAGGTAGACGTGCAACGACCTGCCTGTACTTGCCTGCCAGATGCCTTTATACACTCTGGCATAGTTAAGACCACAGAGATGAGATGTTACCGCAGACTCCTTGACATCACGTACAAAGACCACGTTTCAAATGCTGAGGTACGAAAGAGAATCACCAACGCATATGAAGATCTACTGACCACAATGAAGAGACGAAAATTAAAATGGTATGGGCATGTCACAAGATCCACAGGACTTGCCAAAACAATCCTGCAAGGAACCGTACAAGGAAAGAGAAAGAGAGGAAGGCGGAGAAGGAGATGGGAGGACAACATTACAGAGTGGACAGGAAAGACGATGGGTGACAATCTGAGGAAAGCAGAGGACAAAAATAGATGGCGAGAGCTGGTTTTCAGATGCAGTGGTGCCCACACGGTTGCCCCTACCACGGGATAGAAGAAGAAGAAGAAGATAGTTAAGACACCTCATACCTTATTGTTATCGGTCCACATTGTTCTTTGTTCACCCTTCAAGTAGCCCCCTTTCCTTTCATTTTGTCTTCGAGTATTTCCTTCTAAACAGCCTGGTCGTCAGTTACGGTCTTTTCGTATCTTCGTTTATTATAACAATTTTCCTCTTCACTCCAGGAAGAAGCTCACAGACAATTGAAGGTCGTCGACGTACTCAAGAATCAAGTTGATCATACGCCTTGAAACGAACATAAACAGTATAGATTTTATGTCCATAATTTCTTAACTAAATCAGTCGCTCAGTTCAAATATCTTGGCAGTACACTGTCTTCAAAAGCTGAGGGTTTTCAATTCCAATGTGATATCAGTCCTGTTGTATGGATGTAAGACAAGGAACGCATCACAGACTTGTATAGAGAGGATCCAGGTTTTCTAGAACAGATGTGTAAGGAATTCACTGAGGATCAGATGGACAGACAGGGTCACCAACGAAGAAGAGTTAAGGGAAACAAGGCAGTTCCCAGTAAGAGATGAGGTTGAAAGAAGGCAGTGGCAATGGGCTGGGCATACTCTCAGTAAGTCAGGCAGCCGAATAACAAAGGAGGTGTTGAATTGGAATCCACAGGGTAAAAGATCAAAAGGAAGACCAAGGGGAACCTGGAGAAGAATCACAGAAACTGATGTACAGAAAAGTGGTAAGACATGGAATAACACCAAGAGGCTAGTCTAGGATAGAGACAGGTGGACAATATTTGTCCGTGGCCTATACCCTGGTGCAGGGTGAGAAAGGCTAGGATGGGTGGACACTGTCTTCAAATGCACGCAACGATACAGAAATAGTTTTACGTGTGAATAAATGTGGTGAATCTTTGGAAGACTCAAGGCAAGAGTTTGTGACCGTTGTGCCATGTGCACAGAGACAAGGTTGAAGGTCTACAATACTTTGACAGTGTGGTCCTCCCAACCTTGCTGTATGGAGACCTGGACTGTTGATCAAAGCCATACCAAGATGCTTAATCATTTCCTCATGAAATTCTCCAGGAGAATTCCTAGCATCACAAGGCAGGATCAAATATCAGATACGGAAGTTCTCTAAAAGGCAAATACAGAGAGCTAGTTTTCTAAACTTGAAAGTATTTATTTATGTGGTAAGAATGTCTTTTCTGAATCCCAATGCAGTATTTTAGGCTGTAACTTTAGCACACTAAAATAGCGATACTAAGAGACCTTGAAAATGTCTCTGAAGGACTTCAACATAAATCCTTCGACGTGGGAGCTTCTGATAGACCCAGTTGGAGAGAAGTCACGAAGGGCAATGCATCATAAATTTTCTCTGCCAGAATTGGTTTCATGGGCCTTGGCAGAAGCCATACGTCGTTTTAACTTTTGTTTCTTCTATTTAGCTTTAGAAATATTCTTCTCTGAGGATGCATTGGTCATTGTCAGCCATTGACAGACGAACAATTATTACCGTTGCCTGGGGATAATCATAAAGAGCCATGGGCCTTTCATTTCATTTACTCACCTATTTCATTGTTTATTCAGGCGTTCAATGTTCATTGATCCATTCATTCTATCATTCTTTCATTCATTCTCTCATTTATTCAAATGTCACAATGGAACATTTTTTCGAAGACACGATTTGTTTCTTTAAGTTTTGTTTTCCAGTCAGTATCCTTTCGAGAACACGACTTTCCGATGTCATTTAAAATAGTAAGTAAAAAGGAAGTTCCCGAAGCTATAATCGCGAGCTAAATTTATGACGGTTTGGGGGGGGGGGGGTCGTTCTGAATATCACAGTAATGTTTGGAAAGTAAGAAGGTTGACAGAAAAGGAGGGGGGGGGGAAGCAATGTCCTACAGGATCCAGGGCCCACGTCAGGTTTTTGGTCAGAATAGCTGTCGATATACAGCCGAACCTGTTCTTACGACCACCTGGCCAAGACAATCACCTGTACAAATGAATGTTTTCCACTAACGGTTTACTTTCTGTAATAATATTAATATCGCGACACTGTCCAAGAAGACCACCTTTCTAAGACGCCGACCTTTGGTCTCGACAATAGGCAGTCACTTTGGTCACGTTCGATATATATACTGGTAAGAGTAATAAAATCTAATGATTTTCTATTAAAATTACCATCATCTAGAACAAGTTTTTTCCTTACAATTACTATGTGTTATCATCAGCAAGAAAAAAGTTTTTCTTGTACAATCACTATCAGCAAGAGACACGTTTTCTACTTCAATTGCCATCCCTCATCATCATCAGCAAGCGCATGGTTTTCTATAACGATATATAATTACCATCAGCATCTCTCCGACGAATGAAAGCCGCCACAGCATTGGGGCTGATGTTTGGTTTGAAACGACGCAGATAATCTCTGACCTCATCAAACTCAGCCTTTCCGTTGTCATTGTGGTCGAACCAGCGCGTGAAGCGGCCTTTCAGCTCTGGGGAATTAAAGACGGAAAAATATAATTAATGTTTAAAGTTTGTGGCAAGAGATTAAAAACAAAAAACCTCCCACAAAAAACAAAAGAATTAATTCCTCTTTATTCATCACATTCGCAATCTGATTCACAATCGTGCTCATAAATGCATAAAAACATTGATATTCTTAATTTTAGTAAGAGTTTTACGGCACTTGCAACACAATCAGGACATAAATACATAAAATTATTTAATACATAAATACAATACGGATACAAAAACATAAACAATTCACACACCATGGCAGGTCGGCCTATCTATATGGGGTAAGACGTGATGAGCTGACCAGATAACTTGAGATTACATGAGGGTGCTGGGTTGTTGTTGTGTTTTTTTTTAACAAACTATGGCAAACACGTGAAGAGTACAGCATTAGGGGACAACTGTTGGACGTCAGAGCCGTCTATACCAACAGTATGAGCACAGTCCGCACCCAAAATGGACTCACTGACAGATTCGACGTGTCATTTGGAGTGAGACAAGGGTGTGTGCTATCAACGCTACTATTTATAATATACAAGGTGATCCAAAAAAAGCTTTACAACCTGTTTTGTAAATATCTTCCTCCATACTTAAGTTTTTCGTTTCAGATTTGAACATAACGTTTGGAAGCCGAAAGGAATTTTGTCTTATATGCATTTTAGGTAAGTCCATTGAAAGGTTTTGCTCTATATAGAGCATAAAAAACAACCCATTTTCAACCTTGCCGCCATTTTTATAGCATGATGCACCAGTTCGCATTAGGCCTACCACTAAAAGTTGCAACAATCGTGCCATATTGCAAGCTACAGCAGTCTAACAAGTCAACAGAAGTCTGAAGATATTATTTCTCCCAAATTTTGTTTGCCTGCTGAGATCATGGCTACGTTTAGTAAATAGAAGAGAGCTTTGTGTATTGAACGTTACTTCTCCACAAACTCACTATCCCTGACATTTCGTAAGTTCTGCGCACGGGATGGATAGAATGCTTCTAAGTGTCCTCAAGACCTTTGGCATCACGAGTAGAGAAGTTTCGCTAGTTTGGATCTATAGTTAAACAGAATTTAAAAATGACCCCTTCAGGGCGAACACGCACCACACGCAGCCCTTTAAATGTCACCAGAGAGCAGATTTCAGTAGCCGAGTCCCATGAGACGTCTGTCCGTAGACGATCTGCAGGTAGGACTTTCCTACACCTCAACAGTCTGCATTCTCATTGCAGATCTTAACCTACGACTATACCATGTTCATCTTCGCTAGGCCGAGATGACATGGATCAGAGCATGGCAATGTGTTCATGATTCCTCGATTGTCTTGTAAAGAGGGATCATTTCCTCGAAGAAATTTAATTTTGTTTAGTGCAAAGCCCATTTTCACCATGCTGTCTATCGGGCACCCCACTGTATTGTCTCTAGAAGCCACTTCTTATTGAACATGTACAGTGTATGTGGTTTTAAAAACTCATGGTTTAGCAGGTCCTTGTGTTAGGGCGCCACTGAACATTTCGAACGATGCGTTAAAAATGTGTCGAGTCCAAAGGAGGGAATGTGGAGCACTGCTTCTAGGAATTTCAGAATAAAATCATTAGGTTGTTAAAACTCTGTAAAAGAAATTAAATATTGTTTAAATGTCACAGGGGTGGAAAATTAATGTCAAAGAGAAAATAAAGAAAAAGGTCAACTAGTCTTTTCACGACTTTCTTTACAAGATTTTCAAACATTGGTGAACTCTGCGTTTTTGGGTGCTTTTTTTCTTTAAGCCGTTTCCGTTTTCAAAACATGTTTCTTCTTCGTGGATTTTATATCAAACAAATTCCGTTTGAATGAATTATGTCTGTTCTAAATCGCAGCATTCTAGAACAATTTTTTCTCAAGATATTCAGAAAAAAGTTGTAAAGTTGTTTTTTTGGATCACCCTATATATTGACAAAATAACAAAAGAAGCAAACCCCAACCCAATAGACCTGAATGAGATGCTGTTTGCGGACGATCAACGCCTGGCATATGAGAAAGAAGAGCTACTTCAAGAGCACACAGACAGGTTGAATACACAATGTGAATAGCTCAACATGAAGATCAGTAAAAGTAAAACGGAGAGGAGACGATGAAAATCAGCAGAACACCAGGCAACCTTAACATCACCATCGATGGAAATCCGTTTGGGACTTTCGAAGAACAGACTGTTTCGTAGACGTGGCCACAAAATAAGGACATTGATTTGGAGGGTGGGGGATTTTAGATTGATTCTGTCCAAGTAATAGTTAAGAGGTGTGAATTCTGTTCGGAGGTGGACTATTGTTGTTCGTTTCCTTCAATATTACAGGGTAAATGTCTTTAATCCCACACGGAACTATGGGGATTATAGGATCCTAACAAGCGAACTCTCTTAGAGAAGTAAATGTTATAATTGTAGATATTAGGCGTTGCTGGTCAGTGAGAAGAGATGAAGGGAAAAAAGTGAAACGCAAAAAGATAATAAGAGATAAAGAGACAATGAGAGGGGGGGGTGCGGAGAAGGAGTAGTGAAAAGGGGAGAGATAAAGTGAAGGAATAGAGAAAGCGAGAAGGAGTGGGAGAGAAAGAGAGAGAGAGAGAGAGAGAGAGAG